CTTTGCATAGGGCGGCCAGGAGCGTGTGCAATACCGGCGAACTTATATATGAAAGAGGTCGCGCAAGGTAAAGGCTCGTATTTATACGTTCCACGAGGTAAAACGACGTCTTAGGGCCGTTCAAGCATTTATGGTGCACGTTCCAGTTTTGAAAAGGACGCGGGAATGCGCTCGGCTGAATCGCTCGGGCTCTGGCCATGATTTTAAAATCCCCGGGAAATTAGTTGACAGACGAGCGAGCTGAAGAAAAAACCCCTGGCGAAAAATCTCTTCGTTAGATTTAATAGGGACGCGACCTTCGTGCACATACCTCTTGATGGACGATGAATTTTTCACGGTATTCGCGTGGCGCCTTCGAGACGACGATGATTAACCGTCCAACGCCGGACCCGGGTCAATTTTAACCCGTACCGCTTCACCTCGAAATTGGAATACATCGGTGGCCTTTGACTGCTCGAACCGAAATAGAAAACGGAACAGGGGAATCGTTTCTTTCGAGACATTTGGAAATATCGTTTTCACGATGAAATTTTTACATTACGTTCGTTTTACACGGATTTGTCATTTTCGAGCGATAGGAAGATCGACGAAACGCGGTTAAAGTTGCGAGTAAAAATAGCGAGCAGTAGTCAGACAGATTAGACAAAGGCCGATCGCACACGAGCCCAATCGATCAGTTCCAAACCACTCTGAAACTACACAAGTTGCATGTGACCGTGGATCTAGGTAAAACAAAGATAGTGGAGTAGGTAAAACAAAGAGCGCGAACGGATTGCAACACTAATTTCAAATCGGTTGCGCCGTGTGCGATCCGCCAAACGTCTTTGATTCTAAATGCACTCGGACAAAGTATTGGCTGATTGCATAAGTTAGTGCCCGATTATCATAGACGTTGCTATGACAACTCCATTGTTTTTCTTTCATTTGGTTTACCCACTGAATAGGTTATAGTATCGCGTGCAAAATTAGATTGTAGAAAAAAATGGCTACATAGTTGATTAATAAAATCATATTTTTTGAAATTTATCACATTGATCTTCGTATTTAAATCGGCCACGAACTTATGCAATCATCCAATATCGAAGTTTCGTATCCTAAATTTTTATCGTACATCTAAATATGATTCATTTTCTGACTCGTTGACTCGTGTCTAAACGGTGATTTTTTTAATTAACGTTGACTCTCTTCTAGGTAACGCCACCGAACAGCGTTCGCTTGATTTCCAAGGAATGGTAGAAACAACCAGTACCAGCTTCCTCGTCCGTATCGCCAAAAATACGAAATCAAGACGTCATTCGGACTCCGTGGAGTCGCGCGTTAATCTACGCACAGGAATGGCCGACCGACTCTCAAGTTTTCCCAGCGAGTGGAAGCCAGGTTCCCCGGCGAAGAAGGAAGGAAGGGGTCCTCGGAGAGGGGTGTTCCGTAAGCTGAATAATTCAGTCTCTCATTAGGGCGACAAAAGCACCCTGATGGATAGCTGCTTGGCTCCGTTGGTTGTCGTTTGTATGGGGACCACACGCACACATTTCGCGTTCCCTGCGCTACCTGGCCGTGTACGTACGCCACGAAGGCTCTTACTCTGGCTTGGAATACATATAGGCGCGCAAACATCCAGCAGATCCGTTCACGGCGACCCCGAGATCTTCCGACTCGCCGCGTTTCTGCGTTCCCCGCTCTCACCGCCACTTCCAACCGCCTTCCACCGTTGCACTTCTACTTCCGTCCTTATCGAAACCTGTTTTTTCTCTCATTTTTTTCTTTTTTTTTCTACGCATGGTAATATTCCTCGATATCAGCATTGCGATATCGCCGCAACATCTCCGCGATATTTGCAATACTCTACGATATCCCTCATCGCGACAGCTTAGAGCGGTTAGACCTCACCGAACCGCAGAGAGAAATCTCAGACTTCTCACCATTCGACCGATAATCGCTCGCCTGATCGCGCCCCGATCGTTTCGAATTAAACGATTCCTCTTCCCACCCTCATCGATCACGATCGACTCGAAACTCCTCGTCCTGTCGCACAGTTTCCCTCTCTCGTTACCACCTATTATTACAGAGACTCGTTTCCCGGGATTGTAAATATCTTTCCACCGTCCTATTTATCTCCCCCTCCCCTTTCCTCTTCCCCCTTCGTCCCACGTCAGCTCGAGCCTCTTTTGTTTTATTTCGAATGTTCTTTCATTTCTTAAAAGGTTCTCCGACGATAATTAGCACAATGCGCGGCGGCATTAATTATTACCCGTGCTAATTACCCGAGGATAAATCGCCCGGCAAAGGGTAGCCCCCGGCGGATGGCGTCGGATTCGTGGGTCGCGCAGGGGCGGTGGTCCGAAAGGGGTGCCGTTCTCGGAGTGGCCAGGACGGGGGCGGCCCATTACCGTTATTGCTGCAACAAACCGTCCAACAACAGCGATAAATACGAGCGAGAGGCTGGCGTTACAAATGTCTCTCTGAGTTATGATTATTTAGCGCGACTGCTGCCGGGGTGGGATCGTTCGTTGCGGCTTGGGAAACTGGCGCCCGTTTGCGTCGGGATGTTTATGCGTCCCGCAGCTTTTGTCGCTGAACGGCTGCGACAAAACACCCCGTTCCGCTGCTCTTTGCCCGGACAGCTTGCGACGTTTGTTAACGTCTTTGCCACTTTCGAGAACGTCTTACGGATTAATAAAGGAGCCCGACGGACGAGCAGAAGTTAAGGGAGAGATTCTGCGAGGTGGAGACGGTGCCCTTCTTTTCTCAAAATCTACGAAAGATCCCCCGTGGAAGTCGAGGCCTGAGGGAGTCCTAGAAATACCATATGTAAGTCCCTGATACATCCCTGTGGTAATCGTGAAAAACCTTCCAGTAGAAGGAAGGAGCAAATGGGTCTACGAGACTCGAATTGAGACTACGAAACTCGTATTCTCGAAGAAGCTACTTCTCTTGATAAGATAACAGTAAATCAATACCAGACATAATAGATAAGTTATGAAAAGTGATCAGTAAATAAATAAACAAATAACATTGAATTTCGTTTCTATGCGTTTAAATTTTCTTGGATTTATTAACGAGTGCTGTGATATGGTCCGATAACAGAGCAAGGATACTATCTGCCATCTAGTGGTCAATAGGTAGAACGAAACTCGGACTGAATGCAGAAATTTGTCAATATATATACACGCAATTTTACATCATGCCAGGCATATTATTTATTAATAAGACTTTTAACGTTTATTTGATGGACAGAAACTGGTCCAAAATTCATTATTTAATAAAGACAAAGATATAATTGTTCGTGTAAATAAGTCTTGGAATCAGTTTGTTTGAAGCAATTGACAAAAGTAGAGATCAAAGGATATTTATGCTGCTAAATTATAACATCAAAATGCTTGGAGTATACCCAGAAAATCATTGTTAAACATAATAGAACAAAATTTATTAAATTTATTATTTTTCGACGTCAGCGCCTCAATCGTGAAAACGTCCAAGTTTGTCGTGAAATAGTTCTTACTCCTCAGGCTAGATGGCACCATTTATACGATAATTACCGACATGATGGTAATGTACCGACTATGTCGGTAAAAATCTGTGATAATGGCGCCATCTAGCAGTGAAAACAGGAATTATTGAGGACAAACTTGAGCATTTTCCCGAATAGAGGCGCTGCTAAACTCCGAAAATTAGTTCATACAGTTATCACTAGTAGTAAGTTCATATATTCTATACTATAAGATTGTATATCACTTGATCAGGGTATATGGACCTGAATTGGTTCGAAGCCTTTAATAAACAGAACAGAACAGAACAGACAATTAGTTCAGCATTTTAACCGCTAGATGGCAGCAGAAAAACACGCGAAATTCAAATCCATAATTCAAAATTCGATGTTACTTGTTTATTTATTTCTTGATATCGTCTCGTAACCGGCCTATCGCGTCTGACATATATTCAATGTAATACAAAAGTTTATTAAAAATACTTAAATACTGTGTACTGATTATAAATGCTACGTATTATTGTTATAAATTTTTAATGTTAAATGAGGTTTGTGTACATTTTACAATAAAACTAGATCTCCAATTCGTATATAATTTCCCTTTATTCCCTGACATATTTCTTATTAAAACCGAAAAGGTGGTACGTTTGCGCCTACGGACAGGCAATCGGTCCGACAGATCTCTCAGTATAGGATGCCTAATTCAAGGGGCTAATTTTCGGTACATTTCGGAATTCTGGCCAATTTTGCATTTTGGCAAAGTCAACAATGTTGCAAATCGCTCCTCTCCAAACTTCAACAAT